ATACATAATCAAACCAAATGTCATTTTAAAAAAGAAGGGTCAATGTACTCGTTTTCTAGCTTATGATTAAAATCTGTTGTTGGTTCATGTCTGTCATATTTGTTTTGTTATTATATTATTATTATATTATTAATAATTAGGCCGTTAGTTTTCTCAATTGAAAAGTTTCATATTTTTCATGTCAGAGCCTTTTATAGCCGACTATACAGTATGGGTTTTTCTCATTGTTGAAGGCTGTACGGTTGCATATAATTAATTGCTTACATCCACTTTATTTGAACTTTGGTGGATAGTTGTCTCATTGACAATCATACCTCATCTGCTTATTTTTTTTATCTTTTCCCAATCTGTCTCAGTTTGACGTTGCAAAAGATAACATTTTACGTTAGCATCGCCATTACCTCCCTGTAACTGTATCATATGGCCTTAAAGGGAGGTTATCCAAGGTTATATATTATGTTTATTGAGACAATATTTCATAAATGGATTGTCATAAAAATTTTGCCTCATGAAAGGGAGGTTATATCAACATTAAATATTTTGGATAATGATATTATTAAAGTGTTTTATTTGATAATAACAAAGAAATCTGTATAATTATTTTAAACTTATGCATCAATTTATGGATATACAAATACTTGCGTAAAAAATGTTTTTAAAATTCCAGAAATGCTCACAAATTTATGACAGAGGATTTCTCTGGGAAGACATAATTAGGTTAAGAAATATTTTCATGGACAGTATTTCACAGTGAAATATTGTCATGGACAGAATTATTTTCTGAAATATTGTTCTGGACATTATTTTATTATAAAAGTGTCCACAGACAATATTTATATGACATTTTGTCAGACAGACAATATTTCACGGGGAATATTATTTCATGTTACACAAATACAGGGAACAATATTTGTAGACAATAAAGCTAAAGGACAATAAATGTCACAGTCTTGAGATGGGTGCAGTGACTTTCAATATTATGACCATATCATAAATCAAGTACTAGTTGGTATTTCATTCTGTACTCAAAGAGAATAGTTGTTTGCTGAAAATAAGAATTCATCACTAATATAAAATGTCACTGAATATAAACAGTGGTTCCTCATCTGGAACAAAATTTTGCAAAACAATATCTGCATTTATTAAAAAATTATAACAATCTCATTTGCTAAAAAATTATAATCACGAAAATATTTTAAAATCAAACATGAAACTTCAATGGACCACACTGAAAAAACCTTGATAACAAGAAACATGATTATTGTATATATATATATATATACACATACTGACTGCCTAAACTGGTTTAGTCCTCTTTTGAAACAGGCAGTATAGGCACATGCAGTTACTTATTAAAATTGATACAAGAGCCACACTATAATATGTGGAAAAATTCATCATAATCACATGAAATCACAAGTAAGGAACAAGGTGTGATATGGTATGGGGCTTTCTAATAATCCTTGGATAACATTTCTAGAGTTAATTAACCATGCATATGGTTCCAAAATTATTGTAGGTTGCTCTTATTTGAATATAGACAATGCAATTTCCTATAGGAACTACTTTTACAGCTAAAACTTTTTTAATACGAAATTATCTCGGAATGGAAAGTTCATATGCACTACTATTTTTGCTGCATATTTTCAACATTCACGTGTCTCTAACTTCTAAGAGTTTAAACTAATACTAAAATTCTGTTCTATCCCTACTTTTGAGTCTTCCTGAGAATTCAATTTGACTTCTATCCAGCTGTATTTAGACAGGTACAATTCCCAAGTTGTGTCTATAGATGAAACATGGAGATCATACCTGGGATCCAGTAGATAAACAAAATAAAATATCTATGAATATTTAGTATCTCCCCAAAAGAGGTGTGATTTGTGAATCAGTTATATTTGCAAGTTGCAACCTTTAACACAGAGTAATATATGGTCTAGGAACACAGTTATTGTCCTTTGATTATTTTTTATGTCTTTGAATATAGTCCCTTAGGCTAGTGTTGACAGTGTATTACTTGCACATTTTGTTCATACACATTTCCAATTTACTTCTTCATATGTTATGCATAAAATAGTAAGTAGGGGATGAAATTACCTGTAAAAATATTTAGATGATGAATTTTAAAGTAAAGTAGTGATTTGGTCCAGTTGAAAAAGTTAAATAAACTGTTGACACAGAGATATGTCCCACTTGTATGTAATTTTGATATAAATTTGCAAATGTTGAAAGTTAAATAGCAATACTTAAAAATGTAAATTATGCAACATATTCAAAATCAATGAACCATGAATAAAAGTAAAGGCCAAATGAAATAATTTCCATGTAAATAATATATGCCAGTGCTATGATACAACTGCACATTAAATCATTTACTTATCATAAGTGGTTTCCCTTAAACTGACCTAATCACTAACTTTAACATGTAAATTATGCAAAAGTTCGAAGTCAATAGACCATTACTGAGGAGGCAGGGCCAAATAATCTCCATGGAAATAAAGTGTGCCAATGCCTATACAAATGCATACCAAATATCACTGACTCACCATTTAATGGTTTCCTTTAAATTGACCTAATCATAAACTTTAACATTTAAACATGGACTTTCTATACTATAGTAGTATAGAAAGTCCCTGATTTAAACTATAAAATTGTTTTAAAGTCCATAGACCATAACTGAGTGACCAAGACCAAATGATCTCCATGGAAATGAGATATGCCAATAATAATACAACTGCATACCAAATATTATTGACTTATTAGTGGTTCCCCTTAAACTGACTTAATCACAAACCTAACAAAAGTTCCAAAGTCTTTAGATTATGACTGAGGGGGCAGGGCCAATCTCCTTCAAGGTGAGACAATAAACAGCTGCGCCATGAGCGCATGATACGCCTGTCGTCTTGTGTGTGAATTTTTATGCAATAAGCATAAATAGTTTCTGACATACGGCGTGACATGCGAAAACCCCCCTTTTTTTTTTTACAAAAAACTCAATATCTCTAAAATAAAATTTTGAATCAAAACCAAAAAGTAGACAGATCTTTAGATTAATATAACTAAGAAGTGTGTAAAATTTTAAGCAATAATCATAAATCGTTTTTGAGATACGGCGCGACATGTGAAAACACCCCTTTTAAAAAAAAAAAATCAATATCTCAACAAAAAAATTTTGAATCAAAACCAAAAAGTATACAGATCTTTAGATTAATATAACTAAGAAGTGTGTAAAATTTTAAGCAATAATCATAAATCGTTTTTGAGATACGGCGCGACATGTGAAAACACCCCTTTTAAAAAAAAAAAATCAATATCTCAACAATAAAATTTTGAATCATCACCAAAAAGTATACAGATCTTAAGGTTAATATAACTAAGAAGTGTGTAAAGTTTTAAGCAATAATCATAAACTGTTTTTGAGATACGGCGCGACATGTGAAAAACCCCTCCCCCTTTTTTAACAAAATACTCAATAACTCAAAAATAAAATTTTGAATCATCACCAAAAAGTATACAGATCTTAAGATTAATATAACTAAGAAGTGTGTAAAGTTTTAAGCAATAATCATAAATTGTTTTTGAGATACGGCGCGACATGTGAAAAAAAACACACACCTGTTTTAGTTACTAAGTCCCGTAACTCAAAAAGTTTTAATCTTATTTTCACCAAAAAGTATACAGATCGTTTGACCATCATAAGAAACAACTATGTTAAGTTTCATGAAATTTGGATAAGTCATTCTCAAGTTACGGTGCGACATGTTTACGCCGGACGGACAGACAGACGGACAGACGGACAGACGGACGGACGCCGGACATTTGTATAACATAATACGTCCCGTCAAAAATTTGACGGGCGTATAAAAATGAGTATGTCTGAACCTATCAAAATGAATTACAGACCCCCTTAAAGGGGCATTAGTTACGAGATATAAAAAAATAAAACGTGATTTTTTGTTTGTTCAATCAATAATGAAAGTGAAAAAGTGAAATATTAAATCGCTTTTAACAGCCAGTTTGGTTCTGTTATGTCAAAAATAAGCAATGAAACATCGCTCATGAATTATTGACTTGCAAGTGAATAATTCATCCTTATAGAATCCATATTCATGTGAACATTAATTGATCCCTATAGCTAGATATGGGTTACCCATGAACTAGGCGTGTTCAGTTATAGAATGGAAAAGAATGTAAATATTGAAAGTGAAACAAGGGTAAATCATTTGGTTGACTGATTCGAATAAGAAAAACTCATTCTTAAACAGGTAAAAACAATTATTAACATACTATTTTATACCTATTACATGAAATCAAACAGACCTAGAAAAATTCAATTGCATGAGTTTGCAATCTATTTATATCTATGTTTATGTTTATATCAGGTTTTATGACCGTCGGCAGTCTTCGGAGGTCACCTCGATGGTTAATTAGATGGCATCTAGACTAAAATACACATGAAATGCTGATACATACTATTGCGTGTATGCATCTTAAATTGTTTATTTTAGACTTTTTATAATTTGGATATGCATTTTAGTATGTTATAAGTCGAATATTAGAATTTGAGTCAAATTGGTGAACATGAATTTGACAGCTAATGCCCCTTTAACATAAAATTGTTCAGATTTTAGTTAGAGCTGGTAGACTTTGCTATATTATTGATATAATATGCACCAAGAGTATAAAATTTCACTCTAAAAATCTTATTGAGCAATGCAGGTGGGATTTTTTAATTTGAAATTTATTGTTTTAAAGAAATGCACTCAAAATAACTGTTTTCTCAGGTAATATTTAGGACAAATAATTTTTGAAGTACCATTGGGTTTGAAATCTCTTTCATGACTGTTCGAATGAATCACACAGAAATATTATATATATATATATATGTATAGTGATCAGTAATTGTATTATATCTTATTAAGCTTGTTTATTGGGTTGCTGTCTCTAATGTCCTTTAAGTGACAGCAATGACTGGACATTTGTGTATTTGTATTTAACAGATGTGCAGAAACAGATCAGATGAAGGAACAGTGACTTCACACGGGAAAGACTTTGCAGTAATGCATCGTTCAAGTTAGTATATAGAGTATAATTTTTGCCAGTTGAAACAATAAATAATTTAAGCTGAGACTTATTAACACACACGTCTTATAAAGCTATTGCCATTTGGGGATGCATTTTTTTAATTTTATTTAAAGTACACTCATCAAATGAGTATTAAATTAAGTACACTCACCATAGGCAATAGGAGTATTTTGTTAAGAACACTAACTATAGTAGTATGTTGTTTAGTACATTCATAAAAGGAGTATTTTGTTAAGTACACTTGTCATAGTAGTATTATATTAAGTACACTCATCCAAAGAGTATTTTATTAAATAAACTCAACGTAGGAGTATTTTATTAAGTTCACTCATCAAAGGAGTATTTTATTTAGAACAATCACCATAGGAGTATTTTATAAATACACTCACCATAGGAGTATTTTATTAAGTACACTCATCATAGGAATATTTAATTAAGTACACTCATCATTGCAGCATTTAATTAAGTACACTCACCATAGGAGTATTTTATTAAGTACACTCACCATAGGAGTATTTTATTAAGTATACTCATCATATTAGTTTTTAGCTCACTTGGCCCTTTGAGGGCCATGTGAGCTTATGCCATCACTTTGCGTCCGTCGTCGTCTGTCATCGTAAACTATTTCAAGAATCTTCTCTTCTGAAACTACTGGGCCAAATACCATCATATTTTAACTGAATGTTCCTTAGGGTATCTAGTTTATAAATTGTATCCTAAGTTTTGATCCATCAACAAACATGGCCGCCATGGCTAAAAATAGAACATAAGGGTCAAATGCAGTTTTTGGCTAATATCTCAAAACTAAAAGATTTAGAGCAATCTGACATGTGGTAAAAATGTTTAATAGGTCAAGATCTATCAGCCCTGAAATTTTCAGACAAACCGAACACCTATTGTTGGGTTGCTGCAACTTAATTGGTAATTTTAAGGAAATTTTGCATTTTTAGCTCAACCGGCCCGAAGGGCCAAGTGAGCTATTCTCATCACTTGGCGTCTGTCGTCAGTCGTCCGTCGTCGTTGTCGTCGTTAACTTTTTACATTTTGAACTTCTTCTAGAGATCCACTGAATGGAATGAAACCAAACATGGCATGAATGTTCCTTATGAGGTGCTGACCAAATCTTGTTACTTTGTAGCCAATCCATTATCCAAGAAGGCTGCCAGCGGGGGACTTCGTTTAACATAGGACCCTATGGACAATACATACAAATGTCTTCTTTTAGAGAACCACACGATGGAATGAAAGCAAAGATGGCATGAGTGTTCCTTATGAGGTGCTGACTAAGTGTTGTAACTTTGAAGCTGATCCATCATCCAAGATGGCCGCCAGCAGGGGACTTCGTTTAACATAGGACCCTATGGACAATACATACAAATGTCTTCTTTTAGAGAACCATTAAATGGAATGAAACCAAACATGGCATGAATGTTCCTTATGAGGTGCAGACCAAGTGTTGTTACTTTGAAGCCAATCCATCATCCAAGATGGCCGCCAGAGGGGGACTTCTTTTTTATCAAAGGACCCTATGGACAATACATACAAATGTCTTCTTTAAGAGAACTACCAAATGGAATGAAACCAAACATGCCATGAATGTTCCTTATGAGGTGTTGACCAAGTGTTGTTACTTTGAAGCTGATCCATCATCCAAGATGGCCGTCAGAGAGGGACTTAGTTTAACATAGGACCCTATGGACAATACATACAAATGTCTTCTTTTAGAGAACCACTCAATGGAATAAAATAAAACATGTCATGAATGTTTCTTATGAGGTGCTGACCAAGTGTTGTAATTTTGTAGCTGATCCATCATCCAAGATGGCCGCCAGAGGGGGACTTCGTTTAACAAAGTACCCTATGGACAATACTTACAAATGTCTTCTTTTAGAGAACCACTGAATTGAATGAAATAAAACATGGCATGAATGTTCCTTATGAGGTGCTGACCAAGTGTTGTTACTTTGAAGCGGATCCGTCATCCAAGATGGCCGCCAGCGGGGTACTTCGTTTAACATATGACCCTATGGACAATACATACAAATGTCTTCTTTCAGAGAACCACTGAATGGAATGAAACCAAACATGGCTTGAATGTTCCTTATGAGGTGCTGACCAAGTGTTGTAACTTTGAAGCCAATCCATCATCCAGGATGGCCGCCAGAGGGGGACTTCGTTTAACAAAATACCCTATGGACAATACATACAAATGTCTTCTTTAAGTGAACCACTGAATGGAACGAAACCAAAAAAATAAAACATGTCATGAATGTTTCTTATGAGGTGCTGACCAAGTGTTGTAATTTTGTAGCCGATCCATCATCCAAGATGGCGGCCAGCGGGGGACTTCATTTAACATAGGACCCTATGGACAATACATACAAATGTCTTCTTTTAGAGAACTACTGAATGGGTTGAAATAAAACATGTCATGAATGTTCCTATGAGGTGCTGACCAAATGTTGTTACTTTGTAGCCGATCCATCATCCAGGATGGCCGCCAGTTGGGGACTTTGTTTAACATAGGATCCTATGGACAATACATTCAAATGTCTTCTTTTAGAGAACCACTGAATTGAATGAAATAAAACATGGCATGAATGTTCCTTATGAGGTGCTGACCAAGTGTTGTTACTTTGAAGCGGATCCGTCATCCAAGATGGCTGCCAGCGGGGTACTTCGTTTAACATATGACCCTATGGACAATACATACAAATGTCTTCTTTCAGAGAACCACTGAATGGAATGAAACCAAACATGGCTTGAATGTTCCTTATGAGGTGCTGACCAAGTGTTGTAACTTTGAAGCCAATCCATCATCCAGGATGGCCGCCAGAGGGGGACTTCGTTTAACAAAATACCCTATGGACAATACATACAAATGTCTTCTTTAAGAGAACCACTGAATGGAACGAAACCAAAAAAATAAAACATGTCATGAATGTTTCTTATGAGGTGCTGACCAAGTGTTGTAATTTTGTAGCCGATCCATCATCCAAGATGGCGGCCAGCGGGGGACTTCGTTTAACATAGGACCCTATGGACAATACATACAAATGTCTTCTTTTAGAGAACTACTGAATGGGTTGAAATAAAACATGTCATGAATGTTCCTATGAGGTGCTGACCAAATGTTGTTACTTTGTAGCCGATCCATCATCCAGGATGGCCGCCAGTTGGGGACTTTGTTTAACATAGGATCCTATGGACAATACATTCAAATGTATTCTTTTAGAGAACCACTGAATGGAATGAAAACAAACATGGCTTGAATGTTCCTTATGAGGTGCTGACCAAGTGTTGTAACTTTGAAGCCAATCCATCATTCAGGATGGCCTCCAGAGGGGGGTCTTCGTTTAACAAAGTACCCTATGGACAATACATACAAATGTCTTCTTTAAGAGAACCACTGAATGGAACGAAACCAAACATGCCATGCATGTTCCTTATGAGGTGCTGACCAAGTGTTGTTTCTTTGAAGCTGATCCATCATCCAAGATGTAAGCCAGCGGGGGACTTCGTTAAACATGGGACCCTATTGACAATACATACAAATGTCTTCTTTAGAGAACCACTGAATGGAATGATACCAAACTTGGCATGAATGTTCCTTATGAGGTGCTGACCAAGTGTTGTTACTATGAAGCCGATCCATCATCCAAGATGGCAGCCAGCGGGGGACTTCGTTTAACATAGGACCCTATGGACAATACATACAAATGTCTTCTTTTAGAGAACCACTGAATGGGATGAAATAAAACATGTCATGAATGTTCCTTATGAGGTGCTGACCAAGTGTTGTAACTTTGTTGCCGATCCATCATCCAAGATGGCCGCCAGTGGGGGACTTTGTTTAACATAGGACCCTATGGACAATACATTCAAATGTATTCTTTTAGAGAACCACTGAATGGAATGAAACCAAACATGGCTTGAATGTTCCTTATGAGGTGCTGACCAAGTGTTGTAACTTTGTTGCCGATCCATCATCCAAGATGGCCGCCAGTGGGGGACTTTGTTTAACATAGGACCCTATGGACAATACATACAAATGTCTTCTTTTAGAGAACCACTGAATGGGATGAAATAAAACATGTCATGAATGTTCCTTATGAGGTGCTGACCAAGTGTTGTAACTTTGTTGCCGATCCATCATCCAAGATGGCCGCCAGTGGGGGACTTTGTTTAACATAGGACCCTATGGACAATACATTCAAATGTATTCTTTTAGAGAACCACTGAATGGAATGAAACCAAACATGGCTTGAATGTTCCTTATGAGGTGCTGACCAAGTGTTGTAACTTTGAAGCCAATCCATCATTCAGGATGGCCTCCAGAGGGGGACTTCGTTTAACAAAGTACCCTATGGACAATACATACAAATGTCTTCTTTAAGAGAACCACTGAATGGAACGAAACCAAACATGCCATGCATGTTCCTTATGAGGTGCTGACCAAGTGTTGTTTCTTTGAAGCTGATCCATCATCCAAGATGTAAGCCAGCGGGGGACTTCGTTAAACATGGGACCCTATTGACAATACATACAAATGTCTTCTTTAGAGAACCACTGAATGGAATGATACCAAACATGGCATGAATGTTCCTTATGAGGTGCTGACCAAGTGTTGTTACTTTGAAGCCGATCCATCATCCAAGATGGCAGCCAGCGGGGGACTTCGTTTAACATAGGACCCTATGGACAATACATACAAATGTCTTCTTTTAGAGAACCACTGAATGGGATGAAATAAAACATGTCATGAATGTTCCTTATGAGGTGCTGACCAAGTGTTGTAACTTTGTTGCCGATCCATCATCCAAGATGGCCGCCAGTGGGGGACTTTGTTTAACATAGGACCCTATGGACAATACATTCAAATGTATTCTTTTAGAGAACCACTGAATGGAATGAAACCAAACATGGCTTGAATGTTCCTTATGAGGTGCTGACCAAGTGTTGTTTCTTTGAAGCCAATCCATCATCCAGGATGGCCGCCAGAGGGGGACTGGTTTAACAAAGTACCCTATGGACAATACATACAAATGTCTTCTTTAAGAGAACCACTGAATGGAATGAAACCAAACATGCCATGCATATTCCTTATGAGGTGCTGACCAAGTGTTGTAACTTTGTAGCTGATCCATCATCCAAGATGTAAGCCAGTGGGGACTTCGTTAAACATGGGACCCTATGGACAATACATACAAATGTCTTCTTTTAGAGAACCACTGAATTGAATGAAATAAAAAATGGCATGAATATTATTTATTAGGTGCTGGCCAAGTGTTGTTACTTTGTAGCCAATCAATCATCCAAGATGGCTGCCAGCGGGAAACTTAGTTTAACAAAGGACCCTATGTGAAATACATTCAAAAGTCTTCTTTTGAAGAACCACTGAATGGAATGAAACCAAACATGGCATGAATGTTCCTTATGAGGTGCTGACCAAGTGTTGTTACTTTGTAGTCGTCGTCATCCAAAGACATTTGATTTTCGGACAATTACTGTAGTTTATGTGTATGGATCTCTATGAAGTTTAACCAAAAGGTTCAATACCACAAAAGGAAGGTTGGGATTGTTTTTGGGGGTGATGGTCCCAACTGTATAGAAATTAGGGGCCAAAAAGGGGCCCAAAACAAGCATTTTTCTAGTTTCAGGACAATAACTTGTGTTTAAGTATTTTGATTGCTCTGAAATTGTACCACAACAATACCACAAGTCGAAGGTTGGGATTCATTTTGGGGGTAATTTTCCAAACCGTTCAGGAATAAGGGGCCAAAAACGGTCTAAAACAAGCATTTTTCTAGTTTTCAGACAATACCTTGTGTTTAAGTGTATGAATGTCTCTTAAATTGTACCACATTTTACAAAGAGGGAGGGGGGTAAAAAAAAATTTTTTTTTTGAGGGAGTGTCAATTTTTTTTTCCTACAAGATTTGATTTAAGAAATTGTCAATTTTCCAAAGAAAAATTGGGGTCACAATTTATTTTGCTAATTCTTTGTATATAGTCTGAAAACAGATTTACTAAGTATTGCGCAACAGCACAGTGTATTGCACAACAGCAAGAAATCTTCAATTGAATATAAATTCAAATCATATTCTTTGACTACATTTATTCTGTGTCAGAAACCTATAATGTGTCAAATATTTAATTACAATCCTAATTCAAACCTGTATCAAGCTTGAATATTGTGTCCATTTTTGCCCCAACTGTTCAGGGTTGGACCTCTGCGGTCGTATCCAGCTGCGATCGGCGAAGCAGTTTATTGGCTTTTATCTCAAAAACTATAGCAGTTAGAGCAAAAGTGACATGTAGTTAAAGTGATGAATAAGTCAAAATCTATCTGCTATGAAATTTTCAGACTAATTGGACCACCCATTGTAGGGTTACTGTCCGAAATAGTTTATTTTTATGAAATTTTACTGTTTTTGGTTATTATCTTTAATATTATAATGGATAGAGAGAAAGTGTAAATGGCAAAATTGTTCAGCTAAGTATTATCTACAAATAAGTCAAATGATCAAAATAGTCAATTGACTCCTTAATGAGTTATTGCCCTTGAAACGTTTATTTTTTACATTTTTTAGTGCAAGTCTATTACTTTTTCAAAAATCTTCTCCTCTGAAACAACTGGGACAAATACTTCCAAACTTTAACTGAATGTTCCTTAGGGTATCTAGTTTGAAAATTGTATCGAAAGTTTTGATCCATCAACAAACATGGATGCCACGTATCTCAAAACTACAGCAGTTAGAGCAAAAGTGAAAGGGAGTTAAAGAGATATATACATATATAATTTTATTTATAGTGCAACCTGATATAACATTTTTACATACATTAATACAAAGTTAATCAGCCAGCCTTCAAAGGCTTACGAAGCACTGTCAATTAATATCTATAATAAGGCGCTAATATTAAAAATACGAAATTTATACTTCAAGAACATTTTTAAACAAGATTATTTATATGTCATGATGAGAAAGTAACTGAGCTCTGATTTTTGAAATATTGAATATATAGTTTGACACTAGTTTACAGTCAGTAGTTAGCAATTTAATGAGTATTTCGTCATCAGAAAGAACAGAAAGGTCTATGTTGTTACGTTGCTGAAAGTCAGCAAAGGCATTGTTTCTTTCACACAAATATAAAGGACATTGAACTAAAACATGCTTTTCGTCCTCAACGGATACATTGTCATTACAAACTTTACAAAAAGTCTATTTTACGGGATACCACGATAAAGCCCAAGTTCTAATTCCAATGGAAAAGTTCCACAACGCATTCTGGCTAAAGTCTATCTCTATTGTCATGTCATATTAGTGGTTATGTACTGCTGTGTTTTAAAGTTTGTTTCAAGACATTTAAAAGTTCGCAATTTTGGCATGTTCATAATATCCAGTTTCCATTTTTCGTGATGCGGTGCAAAAGTTCTGAATAGTTTGCAATAAATTTTACGCTTAGTCCATTTGTGTAGTTATTGTTCAATAGTTCCAAAAGTTCACATTTTTCCATCACTGATTTTAGCTCGTTGTACCATGTTTTCCTATATTTTTCTGATAAAGTTGAATCCCATTGGAAAATAAGATTTGGAATTCGACTTGCGTGCATACTTGCTATTCTATGCCAAAGTCTTATCATGTTACACTGGCGACGGATATATGCAGGAGAGAGATAAATGGGTCATGATCTATCTGTTATGAAGATTTCAGACAAGTTTGACAACCCATTATTGGGTTACTGCTGGAAATAGTTTATTTTCATTAAATTTTACTGTTTTTGGTTATTTTCGATTTTAAATTTCTGAGTTATGGAATTTTATTCATAAAAAAAGGGGTGTTTTCTAGTTTTCTGACATTATCTTTAAAGTGCTTTGGGCAGTTTTGATTAAACTATGGTGACTGATTTATATCTATTAAGATAACCTCCCTTTAGTGTTTCATAAATTTCTGATATGACATTGAGAAGTTATTGAACCTTATTCTTTGAAAATGGGACAGGCATATCATGGGCTCATGGCGCAGCTGTTTATTGGTTATAGAAAGAGAAAGTGTAAATGACAAAATTGTTCAGCAAAGTAAGATCTACAAATAAGTCAAATGCCTGAAACTGAAATTATCGGTGAGCGATATCAGGCTCTCATGAGCCTCTTGTTTATGAAGTACACTCACCATAGGAGCATTTTATTAAGTACACTCATCATATTAGTTTTTTATGAAGTACACTCATCATAGGAGAATCATTCATGGTATAGGTCATATTTACTAGCCTTTTTGGATCCAAAGAACTAATACATGGAATGAATTCATCTTTTTTTTTTAAAACTTCATGAAGGAAAAGCAATGATCAAAAAAATTAACTAGATATTTTCCAAAATTAGTAGTTTTTATACGACCGCATAAACATTTTTGTGGTCGTATATTGGTATGACGTTGGCGTCGTCGTCGTCCAGCGTTGTCGACGTCGTCCGAAGACACATTGGTTTTCGCACTCTAACTTTAGTTTAAGTGAATGGATCTCTATGAAATTTTACCGTAAGGTTTAATACCACAAAAGGAAGGTTGGGATTGATTTTGGGGGTAATGGTACCAACAGTTAAGGAATTAGGGGCCAAAAAGGGGCCAAAAATAAGCATTTTTGTAACTTCCAGACATAACTTGTGTGTTAGTGTATGGATCTCTCTGACATTGTACCACAAGGTCCCATATCTCAAAGGGAATGCTGGGATTGATTTGGGGGGTAATTGCCTCCAAATTTTAGGAATTAGGGGCCAAAAAAGGGGCATAAAACAAGCATTTTTCTAGTTTCATGATAATAACTTGTGTGTAAGTGTATGGATCTTTATGAAATTGTACTACAAGGTTCCATATCACAAAGGGAAAGCTGGAATTGAGTTTGGGGGTAATTGCCCAAAACGTTTAGGAATAAGGGGCCAAAAAGGGGCCAAAAATAAGCATTTTTCTTGTTTCCAGACAATAACTTGTGTTCAAATGTATGGATCTCTCTGAAATTGTACTGCAAGGTCCCATACCACAAAGGAAAGGCTGGGATTGATTTTGGGGGTAATTGCCTCAAAATGTTAGGAATTAGGGGCAAAAAAGGGGCAAAAAAACAAGCATTTTTCTAGTTTCAGGACAATAACTTGTGTGTAAGTGTATGCATCTTTATGAAATTGTACTACAAGGTTCCATATCACAAAGGGGCGGCTGGGATTGAGTTTGGGGGTGATGAATCATAAGGGGGTTCAAAAATTTTGGGGGGGATTTTTTTTTCCTTTTTTTTTCTTTAAAATTTTCCATTTTAAATTGGTTATTTCTGATTTATATATAAAAGCAAATAATAATGATATGGTTTGAATAGGTAAATTAAAAAATTTTAAGTTCTTAGACCACATTCATTCTGTGTCAGAAACCTATGCTGTGTCAAATATTTAATTACAATCCAAATTCAGTGCTGTATCGGAGCATTTTATTGTGTTTTTAAGTTTAAAGACTTGACTTTTCATTCAGTTCAGGTTTCCAGTAAAGTTTTTTTTAATGTACTTCCAAAATAAATAGGTGAATTGTCTAAAGGTTTTGCAAAAAGTAGAAACTTAAGTCTGTAGCTACAGTTATTTAAACCATGGTATAACTTTATAATTCTAAACCATTGTTATTTCTTCAGATACTGAACCTAGTTTTGGGACACATGTATCTGAAATCAGTATTCAACAGACACAAGGAGAACTTACAGCTGAATCCTATGCAAAAGCTCAGTCAACAGAGACTCTGGAAAGAGTCCCCTGGCCTAAAACCTGGAAATTAGCACAGCCCTGTATAAGGGACAGTATTGTAATGTTTTCATCACCATCAGGTATATTATACACTTGTGTACTAAATCATCATTTGGGGACAACCACTTGATATTTTTGGGATCAGGAGGATTTTTTTCTAATTGACTATTCATTTTCAGTTGTTGTTAGGTATGCTTATTTTTTACTGTGGATTTGTTGCGTGAAAATTTATTTCCACTTTTGTACATGATCAATTTCTGCATTTTATTACTCATTTTGAAAATCTTCCTCCCCCTGAATTTCAAATAGTTGTCTTCTTATATCTGTTCATGTGTTTGTTTTTTTCTGTCATTCATTCACTACTGATAGTTGTAGTTGTAGCTCCAAAATAGGTGACTTTCCGATAATATGTTTTTATACGACCGCAAAAAATTTTGCGGTCATATATTGGTATCACATCGTAGTCATCAGCGTCATCCGAAGACATTTGGTTTCCGGACAATTACTTTAGTATATGTAAATAGAAATCTATGAAATTTAAAGACAATGTTTATAACCACAAAAGGAAGGTTGGGATTGATTTTGGGGGTTATATTCATAACAGTTTAGGAATAAGGGGCAAAAAAATGGCCCAAATAAGCATTTTTCTAGTTTCCAGACAATAACTTGTGGAACGGTGTATGGATCTCTCTGAAATTATACCACAACTTTCCATACCACAAAGGGATGGTTAGGATTGGCTATGGGGGGTTATGGCTCAAACCGTTTAGGAATTAGGGGCAAAAAAGGGGGAAAACAAGGGTTTCCTGGTTAATGGACAATTAAAAAAAGTACAATGTTATGTTTGGATTACCTCCCTTACACTGCTTTTAAATTATGTATAAAGAAATGTTGTATTGTCTTGAGGTGATTAGCTGTCAATTTATTTTTAGAAGTTACTTTTTAAAAATGCTGATTAAGGAATATTAATTTTAGCCATGATTATGTATGTCATTTACTATTTTAAGACTTTTATGATGTATTTAAATGGGTAATTATGGTTGCAAACTCCATTGGAAATTTGAATTGAGATTATGACCATATCTTTTTTTTTTGGAAAAATTGGGGGGGGGGGGGGGGGGGGGGGGGGGGGGTAGAATAGAAATTGTGAGTGGGGGACAGAAATTAAAAAGAAATTTTCTTCAAATATTTTTTTAGTCCCCTACTGACGAAGTCGAAGGGGACTTTAGGTTTGCACTCTGTCCGTCTGTCTGTCCGTCCGTCCGTCCGTCTGTCCATCCGTCAGTCCAGCAACTCAGCTTTCCACACTTTTTTTCTTCGTTCTTGAAGATATTGATTTGATACTTGGTATATAGTTTTATCATGACAAGTTATAGATCAAGTTCAAATTTTGTTCCGGTCTGATGATTTAGTCCAGAGTTATGGTCCATGAAAAAACTCCATAACTAATGTTAGTGTACTATGTTAAACCATATAATCTGTACAAAGGGAGATAACTCATTTTTTAAAAGACATTCTTGGTAAATTGTTTGAGGAATTTTGTGACAGGTTTATATGTTATTTTGTATAAACTAATTTTCTGAATGCTACATGTATATATATATTTTTGTAAAGGTAAATTGAGGTAAATTATATGGCCTTCCAAATACCGTTTCGATTCCTAACATCACTGAAGAGACATTAATTGTCGAAATCCGGATATGGTGTACAAAAACCGTTGCACCTTTTGTTTGTGGTATACCATCTTTTCCGCAAGTTTATTGTTTTCTGTGTAGTATTAAATTTATAATTAAGATCCATTTATTACATCGGTGATCCGTTTATTTGGCAATCGCCAATGGCAGTCAGCAGGGTTTAAGAACATTTGTTGTTCGACCTGTTAGTCAAATGCGTTTTGTTAAAATATACTTTTTCACTTTTTTGGTCTTTTGGAAAATGTTGTTTGTGCTGTATTTAGACCCTCTAACAAGAAATTTGTTTTGCATGCACACGTATAAAAATTGCGGTTTTTATCCAACGCAATCATAGGTTTGAACGTTGTTTTCAATTTAGACTTGTATATATATATATATATATTTTTATTAAGTGAAATCCTTTAATTAGATAATAATCTATTTTTATTAAGGTATATATTTCATTACATTGTGTAGATAAAAGTAGTTGACATTTCATAGGTAAGTTACAAATCTATATTAGTTTGTGACAAATGAAAGAAAAAATATTTGGAACTATTATTTATATTTGATTGTAATTTGAAAATAGATATACATTGTATTACATCATATCTAATGTTAGAGTGTTATAGGTTTTCCACACTGTTTTTCATCATGCTTGAAAATATTGATTGACAGTTTGTAAATAGCTTTATCATGACAAGTTACAGATCAAGATCAAATTTTTGTTTCGGTCTGATAATTTTGTGCAGAGTTATGGTCCTTGGACTTGAAAAAATTCACTCATATATTCAGTTTTCCACAGTTTTTAGTCATGCTTGAAGATATTGACTTGATATTTTCTTTTTGTTTACACCATGACAAGTTATAGAACAAGTTAGCATTTTGTTCCAGTGTAATGAATTTTTACCCGGTAGGGGACTATGTATTGCCATGCAATACTCTCAGAATGCTTGTTTTTTTTTGTTTTTTTTTTGGGGGGGGGGGGTCAATTCGCAACAGCATAGTGTATTGCACAAAAGCAAAAAATTGAATATAAATTCAAATCATATAACCAATTCTAAGTTCTTTGACTACCTTTTTAATTACAATCCAAATTCAGACCTGTATCAAGTGCGAATATTGTGTCCATTTTTGCCCCTACTGTTCAGGACTGTGCAGTCGTATCCAGCTACGCTCGGCGAAGCAATTTATTTTATGCTATTCCTATTTTACTTTTTTTTATCGAAAATCAATTTCAGGCCCTTTTCAATGACTTGAAATCTTAAATTATAACATCGTAACTAAAACATAGCAAAGCCTATTAATAAATTATAAACTGTTCACATAGAGATATATATGGCCTGTATGTAATTTTTAAGTAAAATACAAATGTTGCAATTAAATGGCAATACTTTTATGACTGAGGTGGCAGGGCCAAATAATGTCCATGAAATTGTAAGGTACCAAAAAGCATGGACTTACTGTTAGTGATTCCCCCTTGTGTACTGTGTGTTTTTTTTCAGGTAATGTGTCATATGGAAATAAATACATCCCTTATAAAGGTAGTTGTATGTTTTTTTTTTTCAGGTTATGTGTCTTTTGATAATAACTACACCCCTATTGATGGTGGTGGTTGGATATTTCTCAGTATGGAGAAATTGCTGAAGAGTCTGCAAGGACAAACCATCTCTGTTATAGACTTGTTCTTAAAGGTGAACCAAGAAATGAGTAAAACATTTACAATTAGTATTAAAGATGGTAAAGACACATGTATAGGGTTAAGTAGCTTTAATCACATGTTAACACAAGATATAATGTTCAAATTTAAAGACTAATAAATGTCAAACAATTTGTATATCAATGTTTCAAATTTTGATCAGATAATGACATTGTATGTATACTAATTAGATATTTTTATGTCTTTCAGGATAATGTCACATGTATTATAAGACTTACTTACTTGTTTATTTACTTTTTATACGAAAAAAAAAATTTTTGTGGTCGTATATTGGTATGACGTTGGCGTCGTCGTCATCGTCCAGCGTCGTCGTCCGAAGAAGCATTAGTTTTCGCACTCTAACTTTAGTTTAAGTGAATGGATCTCTATGAAATTTTACCATAAGGTTCAATACCACAAAAGGAAGGTGGGGATTGATTTTGGGGGTTATGGTACCAACAGTTAAGGAATTAGGGGCCAAAAAGGGGCCAAAAATAAGCATTTTCTAGTTTCCAGACAATAACTGTGGAACGGTGTATGGATCTCTCTGAAATTATACTACAAGTTTCCATACCACAAAGGGATGGTTAGGATTTGCTTTGGGGGGTTATTACTCAAACCGTTTAAGAATTAGGGGCAAAAAAGGGGGAAAAACAAGGTTGTCCTCATTAATGGACAAATACTTTAGTACAAAACATAATTTAAAGCAGTGTAAGGGAGATAAATCAAATACATCATTGAAATTATCTCCCTTACACTGCTTTTAAATTATGTATAAAGTAATGGTTAATGAACAATTAAGATAATTTAAAACAGTGTAAGGGAGGTAATCCAAATACAACGTTTTGGGTACTTCCCTTACATTGCTTTTAAATTATGTTTAAAGAAATGCATATTTATAAAGGAAGACCAGTATGGCGCATTAGATTTGTAAAATCTTTGACCACATTTATTTATTTGTTATGCCGAATCTAACCGTGTATTTAGATTTTTAATTTTGGGTCCAGTTTTCAAATTGGTCTACATTAAGGTCCAAAGGGTCCAAAATTAAACTTTGTTTGATTTTAACAAAAATTGAATATATGGGGTTCTTTGATATGCTGAATCTAAACATGTATTTAGATTTTTGATTTTTGGCCCAGTTTTCAAGTTGGTCCAAATTGGGGTCCAAAATTAAACTTTGTTTGATTTCAACAAAAATTGAATATATGGGGTTCTGTGATATGCTGAATCTAACCATGTATTTAGATTTTTTATTTGTGGACCCCGCTATCAAATTGGTTCATACTGAGGTCAAAAGGGTCCAAAATTAAACTTCGTTTGATTTCATCAAAAATTGAATTATTGGGGTTCTTTGATATGCCAAATCTAATCGTGTATTTAGTTTTTTAATTTTGGGTCCCGTTTTTTAAATTGGTCTACATTAAGGTCCAAAGGGTCCAAAATTAAACTTAGTTTGATTTTAACAAAAATTGAATTCTTGGGGTTCTTTGATATGCTGAATCTAAACATGTGTTTAGATTTTTGATTATGGGCCCAGTTTTCAAGTTGGTCCAAATTGGGGTCCAAAATTAAACTTTGTTTGATTTCAACAAAAATTGAATATATATGGGGTTCTTTGATATGCTGAATCTTACCATGTATTTAGATTTTTTATTTGTGGGCCCGCTATCAAATTGGTTTATATTGAGGTCAAAAGGGTTCAAAATTAAACTTTGTTTGATTTCATCAAAAATTTAATTATTGGGGTTCTTTGATATGTCAAATCTTACCATGTATTTAGATTTTTTATTTGTGGGCCCGCTATCAAATTGGTTTATATTGAGGTCAAAAGGGTCCAAAATTAAACTTTGTTTGATTTCATCAAAAATTTAATTATTGGGGTTCTTTGATATGTCAAATCTAACCGTGTATTTAGATTTTTAATTTTGGGTCCCGTTTTTTAAATTGGTCTGTACATTAAGGTCCAAAGGGTCCAAAATGAAACTTAGTTTGATTTTAACAAAAATTGAATTTTTTGGGTTCTTTGATATGCTGAATCTAAACATGTGTTTAGATTTTTGATTATGGGACCAGTTTTCAAGTTGGTCCAAGTTGGGGTCCAAAATTGAACTTTGTTTGATTTCAACAAAAATTGAATATATGGGGTTCTTTGATATGCTGAATCTAAACATGTATTTAGATTTTAGATTTTTGGCCCAGTTTTCAAGTTGGTCCAAATTGGGGTCCAAAATTAAACTTTGTTTGATTTCAACAAAAATTGAATATATGGGGTAATTTGATATGCTGAATCTTGCCATGTATTTAGATTTTTTATTTGTGGGCCCACTATCAAATTGGTTCAAATTGAGGTCAAAAGGGTCCAAAATTAAACTTTGTTTGATTTCTGCAAAAATTGAATTATTGGGGTTCTTTGATATGCCAAATCTAACCGTGTTTTTAGATTTTTAATTTTGGGTCCCGTTTTTTAAATTGGTCTGTACATTAAGGTCCAAAGGGTCCAAAATTAAACTTAGTTTGATTTTAACAAAAATTGAATTCTTGGGGTACTTTGATATGCTGAATCTAAACATGTGTTTAGATTTTTGATTATGGGCCCAGTTTTCAAGTTGGTCCAAGTTGGGGTCCAAAATTAAACTTTGTTTGATTTCAACAAAAATTGAATATATGGGGTTCTTTGATATGCTGAATCTAAACATGTATTTAGATTTTAGATTTTTGGCCCAGTTTTCAAAATGGTCCAAATTGGGGTCCAAAATTAAACTTTGTTTGATTTCAACAAAAATTGAATATATGGGGTTCTTTGATATGCTGAATCTTACCATGTATTTAGATTTTTTATTTGTGGGCCCGCTATCAAATTGGTTTATATTGAGGTCAAAAGGGTTCAAAATTAAACTTTGTTTGATTTCATCAAAAATTTAATTATTGGGGTTCTTTGATATGTCAAATCTTACCATGTATTTAGATTTTTTATTTGTGGGCCCGCTATCAAATTGGTTTATATTGAGGTCAAAAGGGTCCAAAATTAAACTTTGTTTGATTTCATCAAAAATTTAATTATTGGGGTTCTTTGATATGTCAAATCTAACCGTGTATTTAGATTTTTAATTTTGGGTCCCGTTTTTTAAATTGGTCTACATTAAGGTCCAAAGGGTCCAAAATGAAACTTAGTTTGATTTTAACAAAAATTGAATTTTTGGGGTTCTTTGATATGCTGAATCTAAACATGTGTTTAGATTTTTGATTATGGGACCAGTTTTCAAGTTGGTCCAAGTTGGGGTCCAAAATTAAACTTTGTTTGATTTCAACAAAAATTGATTATATGGGGTTCTTTGATATGCTGAATCTAAACATGTATTTAGATTTTAGATTTTTGGCCCAGTTTTCAAGTTGGTCCAAATTGGGGTCCAAAATTAAACTTTGTTTGATTTCAACAAAAATTGAAAATATGGGGTTCTTTGATATGCTGAATCTTACCATATATTTAGATTTTTTATTTGTGGGCCCGCTATCAAATTGGTTTATATTGAGGTCAAAAGGGTCCAAAATTAAACTTTGTTTGATTTCATCAAAAATTTAATTATTGGGGTTCTTTGATATGTCAAATCTAACCGTGTATTTAGATTTTTAATTTTGGGTCCTGTTTTTTAAATTGGTCTACATTAAGGTCCAAAGGGTCCAAAATTAAACTTAGTTTGATTTTAACAAAAATTGAATTTTTGGGGTTCTTTGATATGCTGAATCTAAACATGTGTTTAGATTTTTGATTATGGGACCAATTTTCAAGTTGGTCCAAGTTGGGTTCCAAAATTAAACTTTGTTTGATTTCAACAAAAATTGAATATATGGGGTTCTTTGATATGCTGAATCTAAACATGTATTTAGATTTTAGATTTTTGGCCCAGTTTTCAAGTTGGTCCAAATTGGGGTCCAAAATTAAACTTTGTTTGATTTCAACAAAAATTGAATATATGGGGTTCTTTGATATGCTGAATCTAAACATGTATTTAGATTTTAGATTTTTGGCCCAGTTTTCAAGTTGGTCCAAATTGGGGTCCAAAATTAAACTTTGTTTGATTTCAACAAAAATTGAATATATGGGGTTCTTTGATATGCTGAATCTAACCATGTATTTTGATTTTGGACATTGGACCATAATAGGTAAATTAAAAAAAATGAAGTTCTTAGACCACATTCTTTCTGTGTCAGAAACCTATGCTGTGTCAAATATTTAATCACAATCCAAATTCAGAGCTGTATCAAGCTTGAATGTTGTGTCCATACTTGCCCCAACTGTTCAGGGTTCGACCTCTGCAGTCGTATCAAGCTGCGCCCAGCGAAGCATTTTATTATACAATGTTTATACCATTTTAAACATGAATATTTTATATTAAGAACAACATATTGTACTTGAGTCTTACAATTATATTCCAGCAATTACTAATGATTGTTTATAAAATGGTGGAACTGTATTCTTATTTTTGACAACCTATCTTCTCATATTTTATTTCGATATTCTATCTGAGATTTCTTTCTGTTTAAGTGCCTTTTAATGAAAAATCTATTCAAAATTGTTCTATTTGCACATCTTGTAGCTTTAAAATTAGCATGGTGACCCATTCTTTTTATTATAATTTTGAAAAAAGCATGGTAACATCTACATTTTGGCAAAGTATAAGAAAATTCTATCTGAGGAAATATTTAGTGATGATCCACCTTAAAGGGGCATTAGCTGCCAATTTCATGTTCACCGATTTGACTCAAATTCTTGTATTTGATTTATAACATACTAAAACGTGTATCCAAATTATTAAAAGTCTAAAATAAGCAATTTACCATGCATGTACTCAATAATATGTATCAGCATTTCGTGTGTATTTTAGTCTAGACGCCATCCAATTAACCATCGAGGTGACCTCCGAAGACTGCCGACAGTCATATAACCCAATATAAACATAAATATAGATATAAATAGATAGTGAACTTGTGCAATTGAATTTTTCTAGGTCTGTTTGTTTTCATATTATAGGTTTTAAAACTATGTTAATCATCGTTTTTACCTGTATGAGAATGAGTTTTTGTGGATCGATTTAGTCAATCAAATGGTTTATCCTTGTTTCACTTTCAATGTTGACATTCTTTTCCTTTTAATAGCTGAACACGCCTAGTTCATGCATAACCCATTTCTAGCTAAGGGTATAAATAGAAGGTCAGATGAATACGGTTTCAATGAGGTTGAATTATTCACTTGCAAGTGAATAATTCATCAGCGATGTTTCTTATCTTATTTTGACCAAACTGAACCAAACTGGCTGCTAAAAATGATTTATTATTTCACTTTCATTAATGATTGAACAAAAAAATCATACTTTTATATTTTTTTTACATCTCGTAGCTAATGCTCCTTCAAGCCACCTGTCTAATTTAATTTTATTTTAGAATATTTTTGGAAGGTCACTTAAATTGGGTTACAAGTATTTGATGTGCTTTTTGTTTTACACTGTATACATATAAATTATTGCACTAAGTTTTATTGTTGTAAAAGAGAAGGAAGACCCATTCAAGGAGACAGCTGCAATTGCTAGCTTGGAAAACTTGCTTCATACAGAATAAAATGATGCATAATTGTCAATTTTTAACTGGGATTTTCGAAGGAAAAATCGGTTATTGATTTGGGGATGTACGGTGGGCGGGCGGGCAGCTGCCAAACAGTGTCCGTTCATTAACATGAAAACGCTTTGACGAAATCTTTTCAAATTTAGATATGTTGTTTCCTGTGACTAAATAAAGGTCAAGTTAAATTTTCACAATTTTAGCTTTTCTCGTTGTTGAGTTGTAGACCTTTCAGTAGCGAAAAGTGATATTTATTATATGATTTATTTTTATTTTGAGTTATTTCCCTTTGAACGGAAATGGTGTAATTAATAAGTACATGGATAGATAGTCTATCTATGATTGTATCTGTTCAATTAATTTTAGTCAGGAGTTGTCAAAAATTTCTTTATAACTATTTTTTTTAAGTCGTGTGTTTTGAAGGTAGATGTCACAGTTGTTATGTGGTATTTTATTTTTGTTGGGTGTGTTAATGTTTAATTTTTACTTGATCCTGTTTGGGGGTACAGATTTGCAAATATCATTTTCATTAGATAATAATCTATTTTTATTAAAGGATATATTTCATTACATTACATTGTGTAGATAAAGTTGTTGACATTGATAGATAAGTTGCAGATATTAGTGTTTTTATGATAACAAAGCATGTGGTAATTATCAATCACAAAATTATAATTGGAGTGACAGATTTATTTCAAAATTTTGTGTTTCCTAAGTTTTGTTGATGATAAGCTCTGTGGGACGGTATAAATATTGTTTGAAATTAACTGTTCATTATTGGACATTTTGAAGATAATTACAGATAAGTTTTATAGATTTTTAAAAGACATTGTATTAAGTACAAATGATATATTTTGGAAATTTTTTTTTTTTTTTCTTTGGTAAATTGTTTGAAGAATTTTGTGGTAAGTTTGTTCGTTATTCTGTATAAACTAATTTTCTGAATGCTATATATATTTTTTTTTACTTGATCCTGTTTGGGGGTCCAGATTTGCAAATATCATTTCATGCAGGAAAATCCGGTTTGCTGTCACTCTGACAGCCTCTTGTTATTATTTAATAGACCAACAGTTAATCTTTTATAAAGTATAAATAATTTTCGGCACATGTACAACTGTCGGCATTGTGTCCAAATTAAGATTTCCGATTAGATCACTGGTCAGCATTTGGATGGTTAGTGAAGCCATAAAATTGTTGACAGAAGTCATTAATTATCTCCTTATCAATTAAAACACAAAAGAATCCTGTTACAAGTGTTAATTACATCAATTGAATTCAATCAACAAGGTTAACCTCATAAGGTAAATTGATCATGTGGTGTAAACAATCAAGGTACTGGTTAAATTTCACCTGGAATTTTATACCTCACGGAAAAGATTTAACAAGTCGTTTAAAGTTATACCGATTTATGATTTTGAACTGAAAATTATACCACCGCAATAAGACCGATAGAATCATGCTCATAAATTATACCACCGTGGAGCAGCGGTCCTTTAAGGGCCTGGGGATAACACTGCACTTATCACTTGTCAACCACAGGATGCAAGGATTTGTCTTTAACTGACTAATCAGTGCATGTTCTGTAGCTCCTTACTTGGAGACCTTTTTGTAACTTTCAAGATGAAAGACAGCAATAAAAGTCTTGATCCTGTAATATATGGTTATTTCCTAATATATCATAGGAATCTTTTCTTAGATTTAGCAATCCATTGTTATTTACATCTGATCCATCTTCACGGCCGACACTCGGCTAACCGAGAGATTGGTCGGTTAATCTATATTGAGTATGCGGCTATATGGGCGGTTGGTCTGTTAATCGGGTCGGTTATACGTCTGTTAAGAGTAAAACGCACACTTTAAATGTTCAACTCTGTTAAATATACAGACTTTTGGCATATTTTAAGAACCAAATAAAAAAAAAGAAAAGTGTCTGACAAAATGATATCTATCATAGAACATTTTCCACCTGACAAAACATTTCATAGTCTGCGCAAACTTCAGTAAAACTAAAAGGTGTCGCGCAAGTATGTGGTATTTATGCTTATACGCATAGCAATTGTTTTAATAAAAGGGGAAACAAACAATTTTAGATATCATTTAAAGGACACAAAATAGTACTTTGGTTCTAAAAAATAAATTGACATTAGTAAATATTTCATAATTGTAATATAACGTGAGTAATACCATGTTTTAGTGACTATTAGGGGAATAAAGTCTGTTAATGGGTTGGACAATTAAAATTGTGTCAGTTAAGAGTTATTTAGCCACGACAATAGTGTTGCTACCTTTCTAATTTCCCATTAAAAAAGTTAAGAATGAGATGTACTTGAGTAAAAAAGCAATGACAATACGGTGCAACAGTATCCTTGTAGTAAGAGCATTTTTATTTTGACTTTCTTTCCATTTTATTGAAAGGTGTGTCACTGCAATATAGCGTGATATGGATTGGCCGCTGGAATATGCATGAATTTATTATTAACGTTTTTAATCAGCCTTGATTTTTGTGTCTGTTCAAAGAAGCACGTTCAAAAATCCGACTGAAAGTGTCTGTCTTATACAACACCGGGTACATATAACGTGTTGTCGTTCTCATATGGACATGATATTTGCCACTGGACGTTAAACCCTAATTCGTCAGCATCATCCAATTGGTTCTTTTGTTCTATTACTTAATCATATGTTGTTGACAAAACATTCTAAAGAAGTAAATGGAAAGAAGCGAATGCAGCTACATTTGATTATCTTAAGTTTTAATTTTCATTTTATTCCGTTTAGTTCCTTTCTACATAAGTGCAGAGGAGAAATGCAGTTGTGCGCTTGTAAAATTCTAGCATTTGTCACCAATTTGAGTACATCGCAATTGTTACTGTTTCAACCACCCCCTCCCCCTGAAATTTTGTTTTGTTTGCACTTTACAATATTTACTGAACTATCAGATTCAGCGGTTGACAGGAGGCCAATGTTTATCGGACTCCAGTCTCAAATAACATAAAGTGATATACAGTAAAAAAATTGCAAAGCATCTAAAAGTATATAGATATCGTTGTCTATACTATTAATTTAAAATTAAGGAGATGTGGAATAAATGCCAAAATTGTTTTAACAATCATCTTGGAGGGTCTAAATAGTAAAAAGGGGTGTTTCATGTCTGTATTCTTGAACAATTGTTATTTTTCTCTCTTTTTTAGCAATGCATCACTCTCTACTGTCCTTATCTATTATTCTATATTCTGCCTCTCTATCCAGATTCTCGTGTATACCATGAGGGTCTGGATTGGGGGTGTTGTTTATTTCTGTATTCTTTAAATTGTTAAGTCACTTTTCTCTACACTTTATTTATTTTTCTCATTATTCTTTCTCTATTCTTTATATTTTAGCATCCCAATATATTTTACTTACTGATGTTTAGTAACATTACGACGTTTATCTCTGATATAAAAAAGCAGATGTGGTATGATTGCCAATGAGACAACTCTCCACAAGAGACCAAAATGACACAGAAATTAGCAACTATAGGTCAACGTAAGGCCTTCAACAATGAGCAAAGCCCAATAGCATAGTCAGCTATAAAAGGCCCCGAAATGACAATGTAAAACAATTCAAACGAGAAAACTAACGGACTTATTTATATATATAAAAAAATGAACGAAAAACAAATATATAACACATAAACAAACGACAACCACTGATTTACAGGCTCCTGACTTGGGACAGGCACATACATACATAATGTGGCGGGGTTAAACATGTTAGTGGGATCCCAACCCTCCCCTAACCTGGGACAGTGGTATAACAGTACAACATAAGAGCGAACTATAAAAATGATGTATATACTGGTTACCAATGTAGATGACAAATTAGAAATTTTGTGAATCTCTTGACTGAAGCAGAACTATATGCTACAAACTTATACATGGCACTGATATAATGTTTTTATAATGACATAATGACAAAATAAGATATTCTGGACTTAGAAACTGGTATGAGTGAAAAGTATAAATATAATCTCACCCAATCAACTGTCTTCATTTGAAGCTTTATTCCAAAGACTTTAGTGCTTAATAATAATTGAATTATATAGATTCTTAATTAAAACATTGTATCTAATGAAAGAAGGTGGGTGTCAAATTAGTGACAACTTGTACAAAAAGTCTATACAACTTATAATTTTGTATATGTCGTACACACTTATATATACATGCAATTTAGTGCTTAGATATTTCTTTAGATGATGGTTAATCTGTTGTTGAGATATCTCACAGATATCTGCTCAGTTTTGTATCATGATAATGTGCTCATAAAAGTTTATAAAGTATTTTATTTATATTAACTATTTATGTTTTAAATTAAATTTATATACAATATATTTTTACTGAAATAAAAGAAGATATATTTATAGATCTTTTAAAATTTATTTATGCCTTTATAATACACAGTTAAGAAACTGGACACTAGAATTTAAATTTTTAAAAGGACAAAAATGAATATTAACCGAGAAATAAACTGGGAAGCAGTTCTACTTCTATCTGACCATTGTGTCATTACAGCTTTTGGCATTACTTTGTGTGCATCATTTGTCATTAATGATCTCCTCGTCAATAACTGTTACTGTGCTTATTTAGTAGGCTTTGGCCTATTACTATACCAATTCCTCATATAGTTTACCAAATTGCATTTTGAAATCATCTCCACGAACTGATCAACTGGCAAAATATTTCAAGTAATTGCTTCGGTGATAGGTTGTTAGAATGAAGTGAATGTAGTGAAAAAAAGTTTTACTTACGATCCAACCTCAGTTAATCATTGTCTATGTCATGAAATTCTAATAAAATATTGACTCAGTATAATTTGAGGCACTGGTTTGAAAAGGTCTAACTTTGACATGAAAACTTCTATCCTAAATAAATTTTAAAAATAACTAGTTCAAAACATTGTTTTGTTGATCAATAATTTATAGATTTGTTTTCTAACAGGAAGTTATTGCGTAATTGTAATTTGGATATTTTTTTTTAAAGCAATTTAATACTATTCTGTTAATAATAAAGGGAAGTAATTTACATTACAATCAGCAAAATTTTGTTCTGTCAACTATCAACTTCCTTCATATTGACACTTTATAAGTATGTTGATTTGTTCAAAATACTAAGGATTTTCTACCTCTGAGTATAAGATTACTTATAAGCAGTATTTGGCAAAACCTTTCCTCAATGCTCTTCAACTTCTATTAATTTAGCATTTCAAATTTTGTTATTTGTTGTGGGAGACAAAAAATAGGTGGGAGAGAAAAAATTTGTAAGGGTTCCGCGGAACCCAGTGTCTCGCCTACTTTTTCTGCTAATCGCAGGCTCAACAAAAATGAGTAAGTAAATCAATAAAAATATTCCTCTTGATAATATCTTTTGATTGTAAAAAGCTTCTGTCCAAGTTTGGTAAAAATCCAGGATAGTTTATGAATCTAATAAATGTTTAAAAACTTTAACTGCAGACTGAATGTAATGTTAACTGGAAGAAAACTAAATTTCCTTCTAGATACTAGCATTTGATCATAAACAAGCTTCTGTCCAAGTTTGGTACAAATCCAAAATAGTATAAGAAAGTTATTAAAATTTTAAAAACTTTAACCACAGAGTGAATGTGTTGTTTCCTGGCAGAAAATCTAAGTCTATTTAAAAGTAAAATACGGAAAAAATGGATTTATTTTTTTACAAAATTTCCTTCTAGATACTAGCTTTTGATCATAAACAAGCTTCTGTCCAAGTTTGGTATAAATCCAAAATAGTATAAGGAAGTTATTAATATTTTAAAAACTTTAACCACAGAGTGAATGTGTTGTTTCCTGGCAGAAAATCTAAGTCCATTTAAAAGTAAAATAAGGAAAAAATGGATTTTTTTTTTTACAAAATTTACTTCTGGATACTATCTTATGATCATAAACAAGCTTCTGTCCAAGTTTGGTAGAAACCCAGGATAGTTTAAGAAAGTTATTAAAATTTTAAAAACTTTAACCACAGAGTGAATGTAATATTTCCCGGCAGAAAAACTAAGTCCATTTATAAGTAAAATACGGAAAAAATGGAATTTTATTTTTACAAAATTTACTTCTGGATACTATCTTATGATCATAAACAAGCTTCTGTCCAAGTTTGGTAGAAATCCTGGATAGTTTAAGAAAGTTATTAAAATTTCAAAAACTTTAACCACAGAGTGAATATTTGTGGACGCCGCCGACGACAACGACGACGACGCCGACGGAATGTAGGATCGCTATGTCTCGCTTTTCTGACTAAAGTCGAAGGCTCGACAAAAATGATTCTAAAAGTGGGAGGTGGGAGAAGGGTACCCCCTGTCCACCCCCTCATCTTTGATTAAATATTTTTTACAATGACTGAATAAAATTTATTTCCCTTTAATGCCAGTAGATCAGTAATTGTTATTGAAAAAATTATCCAACTTACAATTACACAATAACGTCCTGTTCGAAAACAAAGCAATAAATTATTGACTAATCAAACAATTGTTAGAACTGATTATTTATAAAATGTCATTACGATAGAAGTTTTCATGTCAAAGTCAGACCTTTTAAAACCAGTGCCTTTATATTATAGAAGTTGATTATTTTATGTCAATCACATTACACAGACATTAAATAAAGCTGGATGGATGGTAAGCATTATTTTTATTTCAATGCACTCACTTCATACTAACAACCTTTCACTGAAGCAAATAGCTAAAATATTATATCAGTTGATCAGTTCGTGGAGATGAATTCAAACTGTAATTTGGTAAACTATTTGAGCAATTGGTATTGTGATAGGCTAAAACCTTCAGGATAAGCACAGTAAAACCAAACTGCACATGATTGATACTCAGAGCTAACTTATAGTTTATGAATCATATAACTATCTATCAACACACAAGCCAAGAGACTCAAATTAGAGCACAGAGGTTGAATGCAAACACTTGTCTAATATTTTTGAAAAAAAACATATCCACAACATTATTAGTTATTGAGTTATTGCTCTTCAATAATGATTTTATTAAATATTAGTGTTTTTGACTATAAATTAGAAAACCATAGTAGACAGAAACTGAAACAGCTATAAAAGATCAACAAAAATGCTAATATGGCTGAAACCAAAAATTGACCCCTTACAGAATTTAATTCCCTTTAATAAAATTTCAAATCCTAAATCAAACAAAAGCTACATTTTGTTATCTACAACTTTATGTTACAATTTCAAAAGATGGATTTAATGTCCAGTGGCAAATATTGCATGTAATCATAGTCCTACATGATGATTTGATTAGTTGTTATGGACTATAAACAAGCTGTCAGTAAATGTGAGTACTGCAAGATCTGTACTGTGTGTCTTTTGTGTATTTGTTAGTTGTTTGTATGCTTTGTATCGATCTGATGACCCCATGTGGCTGGTGTGATTGAATGCTATTTTAATTGACTAGGATTGTCAGTTTTCCTGCCAAAGGATGGTGGTTCTCTCCAGCTTTCTCCACCAATATAAATTGACTGCCTATCAATACCCAGTAGTTCTGAAATATAAAGCTTTATACAAATAGATTACGATGTCCCTGCCGGAATGTAATCCCTATATCTTGCTTTCTGTGACTTTCGTTGCAGACAAGACAAAAACTAGAGCAGTAGGAATTAAATTTTATTTGATAAATATTAGATTGATCTTAGTCTTGATACATGATAAAAATATAATAAATAATGTACATAATTACTATTAATTACAACTACATGTACATGTACATAATTATTATGTTACAAATTCATATCTTTTTGAACAATCTTTCTTTAATAAGTGTAATATTGATACTGAACAACAATTTTCATGTTTTGTTAAGCAAACACAAGTAATTTTTCTGTTGCTTCACTGGCTTCAGCGATTCAATTATTTCAAAATAAATTTTATTATATTTTCCCTGGACTATGTTGTCATAATTATTTGATAAAGATTATTTGACCTATAGTGAGTTTTCCCACATTCTTTTAATTTCAGATCAGCCTAAAAGTCATGATAAACAAGTATGAAATAAGTGTGAACACATAAATATCTTTTCTTCTGAAATATAAAGCTTTACAGAAAATAGTTTACACTGCCATCACAACTGGATTTAAATCCCTATGTCTCTCATTCTGGGACTATCGCAGGCAACACAAAAACAAACCAAACTTTGGTTCTGTATACAAATTATCAATCCAAATAAAGTAGATATCTTATCAATGTTACATATAAATAAATTAAGGTAGCACAAGTGAAAATCATTAGAAACAACAGGCTTTGATTTGAATTACATTGTACTGGTGTTGATGTTTTTAAAGGTACAAGAACAAGAACACAACCGCGAAATCGAGGGCATTTAGAGCGTAATTGAAAGTATGTAAACACTTGTTTTACGATAATTTTTTGTTAAAGATTTATGACTGGAGAATTTCAGGAAAGGTATCAAAAGTCATAGATACTTGTGGACAGGACAAAATATTTTTAGCCCTCCCCCCTTTTTTTTCCAAAGACCGTTATTTTTGTTTTCTATTTTTATGTATAATACTATAAATACTATAGAGACTCTATATAATATATCAGTGACCGCCGTGGATAGTAAACTATTGGAATTGATAGTAAATAGCAAATACACTTTATTTATAGTATATGATTGATCATAGTATACAGAAAAACGTGAAAATGCTTGTCCTGTCCCCAAGTACTTATGAAAATTATGTGTAATTTTAAAACAGTCCTAAACTAAAGTCTTTTCTGTGACTTAAAATCAGTCCGATGACGGAAACAATATCCGGACGCCTTTATTTTCGTTTTCCTCCCAAAACAACCCAAACTGAATAATCGTAAGAGAGGATGATAAATGCTACTATGCATGGTACCTATAGGGTACACAGGCATGATGATTGATTTATTGTGGAAGGAGGAGAAGCGACACACAAAATGAGGTCTTCTCATTTAATAGTATAGATAAGACAATAAAGATTTCTATTAAATAGGATGCAAACAATTTTTTTATTATAGAAAGAATATTTCTTAAAAGCTGAATTGAGAAAAAATGGCATCTTCTATTAAATATAGTAAATATTTTCACCTTGAAAGATATTTGATGTATTCTTAACGTAATTAACACAAAAACATTAACTGCTGTAATTCAGTCTTTCAGATTACGTATATAAAATTTGCTAAAAACTATTAAAATTCACATTTGTTAGATATAACTATCAACAGCCAAAATATTATACTTATTGAAAGATAACAGTTGGCTTGGCGAATTTACTAGGATACAAACCAGTAAACAATTTTCGGATATAAAAAACAGTTTTGAGTTGATTAGCAAAGTGTTTATAAAAATCAGGCACATTTGTCATTATTTAAATTTTCAAATGTAAGTGGTTTTAAATGAAAAATAACCTTTTATTATTACATAATCAACTACCGGTACTGTATTGTGAAAAATATTTTAGTTCTGCATTAATGATCTCCTTATTCTTCCTGACATTTTTTGTCTTCTAACGTTTAAACTGTCTTGATCTATTTTAGGACTACCATCTTCTTTTCCTTCTCTTGTAGCAGGAGAGTTCAGGATAGGGGAGCTAATTAAGTGACAGAGACTTTTAGCTGATACACTTGGCGAGTATTTCCTGGCAGATGGTGAAATTTTAGAACTCCCATCTTCTGACTGCAGCACTTTTGAACAAGGACTTTTAATTATTTTCGAATTGCCTTCCACATCTTGCTCACCAACTATTTCAATACTTTTTAGTCTTTTCTCAAGCTTTTTCTTTTTTGAAGAACCAAATACAGGTGAATCTGTTCTTACAAATGATATATTTGATAAATCTGTTAATTTTGCATTTTCAGTTTCCTGACTTTGTGAAGAGGCTAGATTTCTTGACCTTCTGGTTGGTGATAGGAAGACTTCATCATTTGAAGCCGAGAAATATTCCACTGACTCATTACTTGTTAGAGAAAGAAAGTCTTGTGACTTAAAACTACCTTGTGAATTCAGAACATTTGTGTCAAAGCCCTGACTAGATAACACGTCAGATGTGTCAGTGAGATTCTTTGAAAGTAGCTGTGAATGGAGGGAAAACCCCTGTTTTGGTGAATCAATTGATTTCAAAGAAATTCTCTGTCTTTTATTTGGTGATAATAAGGACTTTTCCGGTGATAAACTCAAATTTCGTTTTCCAAATGTTTTCAGTAGTATTTTCTCATCATTATCAAGAGTTACAGAACTCATGTCTTGTTTTTTTATGTTGTTCTTCAATGGAGAAAAACACCTTCGTTTAGCTGGGGAATCATAAGTTTTACCTTCAGGGGAAACTGCTAAGCTTCTTTTGGAAGAAGTCCTAGGCTTACAAAACATGAAATCTTTAGATTTCTCATTATTGATATCCAGCTGTAGTCTATCATCTGTATCTAGTTTATCATTGATCCTTATTCCAACCTCATCATCACCAGAACTACTACCATTTGACTGAGAACTTTTCAATGAACCATTTTCTTCCACAAAGTTTGGTTCATCTGTTTTAATTTTTGGACTTTCGCTATATTTAATTTTTGTCCATTTCTTCTTTCGTGGCCAACTATCTATTGAGCTAGGTGTTTTTACAACCATTCTTTTTGTTGGTGATGGCGTTTTCTCTGCTTGAGGTTGGATAATAATTTCTTTCTCAGACTTGGTCTCAATTTGATAAGCTGATAATTGTTCTGTGGCTCCTAAATTTTGATTGGTCAAGACCACAATAGCATCATTTGTCTCAATCTCAACATCATTTAAATTCAGAGCTCTTTTTCCTCTTTGTGGATTACGAGGTGATGCAAATTTCACTGGAGTTTTATTTCCTGTTTTATGTTCTGGACTTTTCATGAAAAGTTTAGCTTTAACACTATGTCTTGTAGGTGTGCACACAATTTTGGACCTTGTATTCTGACTTGGTGACATGAGTAAGGTATTTGTTGTTAGTGATCGTGAAGGTGTACCAGTGACCCTCTGACCTTTATTTGGAGTGTGTGACCTTGTATTTAGACATGGTGAATCTGGTATAAGGACTTCTTGGGATGACATTTTCACAGGTGTGAATGACAGCTTCTTTATTGATCTCTTTGGACTTTTCTCTTTAAAAAGAGATTTTTGAGATGACAAAGCTTTACTTGGTGTTTTTGATCGCGTATTCTGGCACGGTGACTGCAATGCTTTGCTCAATGATAATTTTTTGCCAGGAGTTTTTCTGACTGAACCTGGACTACTCATCAACTGAGACAATAAAAACGAAGAGTTTCTGTCAGGTGACTTCAAGTTAAATAAACTTTGTCTTTTTGCTTTTTTTACAAAGTTGCTAGTCCTGCCAGCAATTCTGTCAGCAAGTTCAAGGCTGTTTGTTAAGCTACGAGATCTATTAACAGGTCCTGCAGAGTAAAATGATCTTCTTACAGCTTGTTTTTTCTGAGATGGACTCAGTTTTTCCACAACATCTGAAAAAGGAAACTTCTATTACACAGGTAGAGAATACAATTTTAATTTACATATTTGTTTGCTTTAATTTTTAACTTAGAAAATTTATCAAGAGTCAGCATGGACGATATAACAATGTCTATTTTTGAGTTTCTCTACTTGAATATTCTTTCATATCAATATTACTTGAATTCCTTTAGTGTGTACATCTAATGATTTTACCATAATGTGAAAAAGTGGCCTGTAAATGGAATTAAAGTAATTCGTGTACAACTTGTTTTTCAAGGTGTGACACATATTGCTGACTTGTATTGTAGAGTAATTTTTGCTGATATTGCAACATGTGTATTTTTATTTTATAGAAAAATAAAGTCAGAGGTTAATATATATGTCAAGTATAAAGTATGAAATCATAACGGTTCTCTAGATATAGAGCAGACACAATTTGTTACAGACGGACAGACAGACAGACAGACGGATGGACAGACAAATCACTATAGGGCGACCCGCCATTCAGTGGTGCCCTAATTAAAATAAATGTGACTGATGCTATATCAATAAACAGAAAAGAAATGAAGTATTTTTCACTTTAAATATCTATTAGTAAAGTAATGAATACTCTTGCACTACATTAACTTAACAGAAGGTGTACTGTAGATTTATATTGTATAAATACCTAATTTGACAGGAGATTCAGCGACCACTTTTACATCAATCACGCTTTGAGTTCTTCTACGTTCTTTTTCCAACCTTTTCCACATATTCTGACTTTTCTGTTTATGAGATGGTGTCTCAGACACAAGTTTTCTATAAGATGATTTCATATCTGTAAAATTCACATAATAATAGATGTTTGCTGATTTGCAAGGAATGACGAACAAGCCTAAAAATGAAATGTTTGATGTATATCCCTATTATTTACCTTTTGGGTCTCTTGATTTATACAGGAGTGATCTCCCATCCAAATGATATCACTCGTGTATGTAAACAAAAGGACAGCAAGGTTTGGAAACATTCATTGAGGGCTGAGGAAGACAGAAATTAATTTAGTGCCAAGGATAGCCATCACAAATGACCCTTTTTAGGGCCATTGATATTTTTCAGAAATAGTTTACCTACATGTTACACATACAAAAGGTATTCTAAGACAAAACATAATTCTCTGACCCAAGTCTTTTAACAATATGTTACTACAATAAGGCATGTGCTTCTTTAACAAGGTATCTTCAATGGTTGGAAATACCTTCTACTGGCCAGACCACAATTAAAGGGAACTATTTTCGTTGCCCAGGAATATAGTTCCCTTTAACTATAAAACAATTTTTCGTTACTTTTTTGCTTGATTTTATACAAAAATTGTCATTTCCTTATTAAGAACAACCGAAACAAAACTGTCCACAGATTCTACGATCAACATATTTTAGCTTTCAGACAAGAAACGTGGTAAGACTGACAAAGAATAAAAATCAATTGTACACCTACATTTAGGACTTTTCAGAATATGAGCAGCTTTAGTCTTCTTCTTTGCTGAGTTCTTCACTGTTTCCATGACAGCAACTGACTGTCTTCTCTCTAATTTCCTCTTCTCTCTATCTGTAAACAGTTCATACAAATACTTTTAAAAAACTGGTATGTCTATTCCTAGGTTCAAGGTCAATGTTTCTGCTTATAATATGTATTTACCCGAGGTTCGTTTTGATAATTCATAAGACTATTGCTTATTAGCTCTTGTTGTGCAAATGAATTTTCATATACATGTATAGTATTTTTTTCATGTGGTCTAATTTTGCATTTGAATTACTGTAAATTCACAAATAATTGTTAGGTTTATATAAATGTGAATAATGTGACTGGGTGATCATCGCAATAATAACTTGCATTCTGAATTTGATACCCATATCTATATGCAGATTTTCCTGAAATCTGATAATTTATCACACATTTTTGTTCTTTCTTCAAAAATCGGAATAAGAAATGCAGGCAATAATTTCTCAATTTACAGTAAATGTTTAAAATCAAATACATAATGTGAAATTGTCCAGTAATGATTCATCAGAAATCCAAGTTTTCCATTACAAAATGTATAGGATATATCCTCTTGCAAGTAGATCAGTCAAATAGATATCTTAAAATTGACACAAATATTCAGTCTGTTGCAAAAATTTGATTCTTAAGGATTGAACTTTACAATAACTTTGTATATTTACTCTAAATCCAATCATTAAATAAATCCCACTAATGATCAATTGTCTCCTCACCTTTTTCTTTCCTTTTGTGCTTTGTGTTTGTTTTCTGAAAAAAGGAGTAAAAAAAATATTGATCTGTACAAAAGCAAGCTCAGGTATCATTTCCACAAAATATTTAAGAGAAACTCCACCATTCCCCTATAATACACTCAAGGTTACAGACAAAGGAATTCAGTTTCTAATTTTGCATAAATAACCTTTCATTTTGACAGATATTTACCAAACAAAACTAATCTTTAGCTGAAAATTTGCATGATGACATTTTTTTTACTTATTACTGGTTTATTGTTTTTCGACTCATAACATTTTTTTGGTGTATAATTTATTTTTTACTTATCATTGGTTTATTGGTTTTTTCCTTCAAACTTTTGTAAATAATGGCAAAAATAAGTGAAAATTACTAAATCTTGTAACAACATACCTATCGTTTGATAAGACTTACTTAAAGGTTAACAGACTGAAGAGATTTTTTACAGTTTATAGCTTTACGTAAATAAAGTAACAACTTACCATTACAAAATATATATAAAACAATTTGCTAGTTGGAAAAGATATTGAAGACTGATATGTTTATCTGCCATGAGAATGAAAGAATCTTAAGGGGAGAATATGCTGCAAATAGTATAGTATTCTCATTGTTGTTGTGAGGTTACTGTACTTGCAATATCAGTACATGTTACAATCAGTTTAACTCTACCTGGTCTTTCTCTTTTCCTGATTTAGTATCTACTACTATCTGTCTTTTAGGTCCAAAATCAGCAAGACTTGGATGGTGTATAAGCTTTCTGGACCTATAAAGTAAAATCATATTTACAATTTCACGAACATACATAACATTACCAAAATTGTAACTCCTACGTTTAACCACTAAATCAAATAAACTGTTGACACAGAGATATGTCTCACCTGTATGTAGTTTTGATAGTTTAATGCAAATGTTGAAATTCAAATGGCAATACTTTTTCGTGTCAACTATAAACTATATTCATTGAACCATAACTGAAGCTGCAGGGTCAAATGATCTCCATGGACATAAGAAATGCCAATGTTAATACAATTGCATACCAAATACATGTACCATTGATTTATCATAAGTGGTTCTCTTTAAACTGACCTAAACACAAACTTCAACATGTAAACTTAGCAAAAGTTTCAGTCAATATGCCATGATTAAACGCATAGGGCCGTAAAATATCCATGGAAATGTGACGTGCAAATGCTAATATAACTGTACAACTGCATACCAAATTAGAGAGAACTGACATGTCAGCAAGGGCCCCGCTTGCACATTTTTCTGTGAGACAAAAAGACTGATGCATAAAAAGCAAATATTCATAAGTTGTCAATTTTCATAAATTTTGACGTCATCAATCAAATCAGGATGTGTTCTTGATTAATATGTATTTTGTAAACAAGAGTGCACATGCTGAAATGTCTCGCCTTCTTTACTAACCATTGATTTTATGTTGATAGTCCTAAATATAAAGCTTTACTATAAGTAACACATAAACTTAACATGATCCAAGAAAATGAGGTCAAGGTCAGATAAACCAAACGAGAAATACATGTACACCTTACAATCATTCAATAAACCAAACATAGTTGACCTATTGCTTCTAGTTTCTAAGAAACAGTCTTAACAAAGAAAACTTAAAATTGACCAATGAACCATGAAAATGAGGTCAAGGTCAGATGAACCATGCCAGACAGACATGTACACCTTACAATCAATGTATGCATTAAATATAGTTGACCTATTGCTTATAGTATCTAAGAAACAAACTTAACCATGAAAACTTAACATTGACCAATAAACAATGAAAATGAGGTCAAGGTCAGATGATACCTGCCAGACAGACATATACACCTTATGTAACAGTAAATTTGGTCCGGTAGTAAAATTTGTCCGCCAGACTTTTTTTCCTAGGTAATCAAGTCCGTGACCGTAATTTTACTAGGAAATTAAGTCCCTGGATAAATTTTCCTTGGAAAATAAGTCCGTAGCTAGTAAAATATGTCTGGCACCTATTTTCCTAGGAAAATTTTTATATTTCTGTATTCTCCTTTTTTGTATGAAAAAAGTCCCTTTAGAAGTTTATTTCTTAAGACATTACTTAAATTAATCAATATCAAAATCAAGAAAGGAACATTTGTGATTATGTACATCATAAAATTCTGTGATATTAATTTTCCTAGGAAAAAAAGTCCGTTTAATTATTAAAAAACACCCATATTTTGATAAAATAGTGAAATATCAATGCACAACTGTTAAACAATTTAATAACATATAAGTTACAAATTCCATTGTTTACATGTAAATTATTTCTTTCATTACAAAATTTCCTATAAAAATAAAGGACATGGACGTTTTTACCTAGGAATATTGAATGGCCTGGACATGAATTCCTAGGAAAATTAGTCTGGGCAGATAAATTTTATTTAAAGATTAATGCACAACTGTTTAACAGCATTGAAACATAATTAAAAATTCCATTGTTCACATGTAAATGATTTCCCTCATTACAAATTGTCTTATCAAAATAATGAACATGGTTGTGTTTACTTAGCAATATTAAATGGCCTGGACAGGATTTCCTAGGAAATTTAGTCTGGGCACATAAATTTTATTAAAAGATTAATGCACAACTGTTAAACAACATTAAAACATAAGAATTAAATATTCCATTGTTTACATGTAAATGATTTCTTTTATTACACATTTTCCTATTAAAATAAAGGACATGGACGTTTTTACCTAGGAATATTGATGACATGGAAATAAATTCCTAGGAAAATGAGTCTGGGGACATAAATTACTGACATCGGACTAAATATACTAGTAAATTCTGTAACCATGGACTTTTTATACTAGTTATATTTGTCCGCCCGGACACATTTTACCAGGACTAATTTATCACTTACACTTACAATCCTTCCATACAACAAATATAGTTGATCTATTGCTTATAGTTGAAGAAAAACAGACCAAAACACAAAAACTTAACACTGAGAAATGAACAGTGAAAATGAGGTCAAGGTCAAATAAAACCTGCAAGACTGGCATGTACATCATAAAATATTTCCATACACCAAAAATAGGTGACCTATTGCGTATAGTATTAGAAAATAATCTGTTATCACAGAGATATGTCTCGCCTTTTTGTAATTTTGATAATGCAAATGTTGAAATTAAAATAGCAATACTTTAACATGTAAGTTATGCAAATATTCAAAGTCGATGAACCATGACTGAAGGTACATGGCTAAAAAATCTCCATGGAAATGAGATGTGCCAATGCTAATACAACTGCATACCAAATACCATTGACTTATTATAAGTCGTTCCCTTGAAACAAACCTTAACACAAACATTAACTTGTAAACTATGTAAAAGTTTCAAAGTCAATGAACCATGATCAGGGGTGGGGCTATATAATCTCCATGGAAACAATACTTGCAAATGCCAATAAATTTGCATACCAAATATCATTGACTTAACATTAGCAGTTCATCTTAAACTGATCTAATCACAAACTAATACATGTAAACTAAGCAAAAGTTTCAAAGTAAATAGACCATGACTGAGGGGGCGGGGCCAAATATTCTACATGGAAATGAGATGTGCTAATGCTTATACAACTGAACACCAATTAACATTGGCCTACCACTAATGGTTCCCCTTGAATTGACCTAATCACAAACTAATACATGTTAACATAGCAAAATTTTGAAAGTCTATAGACCATGACTAAGGGGGCGGAGCCAAATAATCTCCATGGAAATGAGATATGCCAATGCTTATACAACTGCATACCAAATATCATTGACCTACCACTAGTGGTTCCCCATAAATTGACCTAATCACAAACTAATACATGTAAACTATGAAAAGTTTCAAAGTCAATAGACCTTGACTGAGGAGGTGGGGCCAAATAATCTCCATGGTAATGAAATGTGCCAATGCTTATACAACTGCATACCAAATATCATTGACCTACCACTACCACCATGAACTAGACCTAATCACAAACTAATACATTGTTGAAGCCGACGACGCAGGAAACAGCATACCTATGTCTCGCTTTTTTACTCCGTCAAGGCGATACAAAAAGCCCAAATCTCAAAAACTTAACTTTGACCACTGAACCATGAAAATGAGGTCAAGGTCAGATAACACCTACCAGTTGGACATGTACACCTTACAATCATTCCATATACCAAATATAGTAGACCTACTGCTTATAGTATCTGATATATGGACTTGACCAAGAAAACTTAACCTTGTTCACTGATCCATGAAATGAGGTCGAGGTCAAATGAAAATTGTCTGACGGGCATGAGGACCTTGCAAGGTACGCACATACTAAATATAGTTATCCTATTACTCATAACAAGAAAGAAATTAACATTACAAAAAATGTTGACTTTTTTTTTCAAGTAGTCACTGAACCATGAAAATGAGGTCAAGGACAACGGACATATGACAGACGGAAACTTTGTAACATAAGGCATCTATATACAAAGTATGAAGCATCCAGGTCTTCTAGCTTCTAAAATATAAAGCTTTTAAGAAGTTAGCCGCCGCCGCCGGATCACTATCCTTATGTCGAGCTTTCTGCAGGCTCGACAAAAACCAAGCAATATGTATTTTGGAGGGCAAAGTGTAATTTGACACAGAGAATCATTTTGTTATAGCAAAGCTATCTTTTTCATTTAAATCCTTTCATTTGCCTCCTACCTATACCTTTTGGAGTTTTTGCATTCACAAAAATTGTGGATGGCCAGACGACAGACAGACGGACAAAGTGAAAACTATTGTGCTCCTACATCCTTGATTGCGTGGCCCTAATAATTTTACCTTAACATTAGTGGTTCATCTTAAACTGACCTTATCCCATGTAAACTATGCAAAAGTTTCAAAGTCAAAGAGCATGACTGAGGGAGGAGGGCCAAATAATCTTCATGGAAACAAGATGTGCCAATGCTTATACAACTGCATATACGAAATATCATTGACCTAACTCTATTGGTTCCAAAAAACTAGCCTAATCCCAAACAAATGCATTGTTGAAGCCGCTGTCAGAAACTGCACAACTTGTTCTTGCCTCTGTGACTTTGTCAAAACACCATAGTTTATTGATACACCATAGTATTAACTTGCATTATTAACAAATTTTCTCTGAAGTGTTCGTTCAAGGAGTTCATTTGTAAATTATTAGGTTTTGATATCAATATTGGTCAGCTGATACAATAATATGCCCAAGTAATCTCAAATTTGCATGGGATTCCATCAGATCAGATTTGGTGTCAACTCTATGTGTTATTATATAGGTTACTGGTCAAATTAAAGATGCTATTTACACTAGGTTAGTCAATGAAAAATAAAATTTGGTTAACATCTGTATCACAAAATTATATGACTGTCATTCAGTGTCTAAAAACTGGTTCATGACACTCATGAATAAGGTGGACTAATTAATGCTTAAGTGTCTCTAATAGACCCCATTAACTTGGATTATAAATTTCAGAAATGAGTTTTCTTTTACATATGATAATGTTTATATGCTAAAGCTTTTTAAAAAAAACTTGTAAAAATCCTATCCATGAAGAACTGTTTTTTTACATTTTCTGAAAGTCAATGATAATGAGCTCCACTTTTAAAGTAAAATTCTCAAATTTTACCTGAACAAAATACATATTAAGATTTATAACTTTATGTTTCTAATATGCATTTAACAGGTAGATAAAGTAAACACTTGGTAAAGACAATGATGTTTAATCATTTTAAGAG